AAATTGCTATAAAAACATTAACAGTTATTATCAGATGGCTTCTGAGGTCTCTTCCAGCTTTAGATTTATGATCCCATGACACTTCTCTGGCTTCCTGCCCTTGGGAAATGCTAAGTAAAAGAGATAATGAGGGCGAGGCTGAGCTGCTGCTCTCTGTACCTGGTCTTGGCATGAGTCCTGAGTGGAGGAGGGGAGAGTATCACAAAGAGCAAATGTACAGGTATTTAGTGACCCTATTTGCCCTGTCTGCTCCCAGAACTTCCTTGACTCTCAGGGATGTTCACAGGATTTGGAGCTAGAAGGAACCTTGGATATTATCTTGTCCAAACCCCCTTCCACAGATGAAGAAACTGAGGCTAGAGTGGAGAAATAATCTGTCCAAGGTTACACGGGTAAATGATGCTTGTCCAAGTGCCCAAGGCCTTTCCCTCCACATGCCCAGCACAAAAGCATGCAGTCAAGCAGTTCATCCTTGGAGTGTGAGCCCTGGAGAGTTCCCTCATGGAAGGTAGGGCCCTGCAGGGTTCAGCACAGCTGCACAGTTTAATACACATCTATGGCCCTCCCACTCCTTACCCATTGTCATTTTTGGACAAGTACTATGTAATTTGGGGGAAATACATATTGGGTAATTACTATGGCAATGATTAGGGATTCACTTTAGAAAAGAGGAAATATAATTATAGTTGCATTTTGTACTGTTTCTATGACAACAAGAGCAATAGTGATCGATCAGCAGTTTCTCTCCCTAACAGATAAGCTATTCTCATTCATATGAAATGCTAAACAGCAAATTAAATCAGCTCACTAACCCAAGTGGAACTGCTGGAGGGGATTGGAATTAGATTATATTTGGTGGGATGACTTAGAGCCCCATTCCTGGCTTTCATATTCTGTGAAAAGGTATAGCGTGGGTACACAAGGGAAGACCAAAAGCCAGAGCTATTAAAGGGGAAGAGAATAAGCATTTATCTTGTGCCTACTACATGCCAGGCACTGTGCTAGGCACTTTTTACAGATATTATCTCATTTGATCCTCACAACAACCCTGTAAGATGGATACTACTATTATTCCCATTTCACAGTTGAGGAAACTAAGGTAAACAAAGGTTAAGTAACTTGCCCAGGGTCACACAGTTATGGCTGAGGCCAGGTTTGAACTCAGGTCTTCCTGACTCCAAATTCAGTGCTCTATCCACTGTGCCACCAGTTGCCAATTTACAGCAGATAATCATAGGAATTACAGAATATCCCTCATGGTTTACATCTACCTGAAAGGAAACTGGGATCATGAAACCATGGAATGTTTCAGATGGAAGCAACGTGGTGGAATCATCCGCCTCAGCCTTCAAATTTCAGGCAAGATTCATTTATTCAAGACAAATTGTAGTTTAACCCATTTTTAAAGAGATCCAGGGCCAGAGATTCTATGCAGGGTCTTCCTAAGTGACCCCAATTATCTTCAGAGTGAGAAAGTTGTTGACTCTAAGGTAAACCACTTTTATTATAATCTTTTCTGTACTCTGGAGAGGGAGGACTATTGGCCCATAATCTCTTAATAAAGGGAAAAAATGGTACCCTGCATTTGCAGAGTTCTCCTATACTCTTTATATTTTCTTTTTAATGTGAGCTCCTTTATTTCATGTTCCTCTCTGTCATACATATGAGGGAACTAAGGTTAATTGAAATGTCCAAGGTTAGCTAGTGACAGACAAGACCATAGTATTAGACCTGGAAGAAACTTTACAGGTCAACTAACCTAAACTTTTCATTTTACAGATGAAGAAACTTAGGTGACACCAAAGGCCACAGAGGTCGTAAGTAGCCAGAGTGGAATTTCAAACCTAATCCATTTTGATTTCCATTGTATAATGATACTCTATATTTGAAAACAGCAAATCATTCATCTTCTTTCTCTTCTCCAACCTGAACAGCCCAAATTCCATTAAATTGGCTCTTAGTTCCCAATTCCCATCTATTTAATCATTTTTGTTGTTCTTCTGTTCCCTTTTCCAATTTCTCTGTGTCCTTGAGTCTTCTGGGTATGAATAGAAAATCTAATAAAAATGGTCTTCTTCATTTGTGGTGATGCCAAATCTGAGAAGTCCTATTAGCAAAGCAGAAAGTACTTGGGTTGGTGGTGGTAAAGAGAATCTTGGTTTTATTGTAATTTCATTTTTACTTCTTTTCCAGGCACTCTTATCTGAGAAGTGAAGATAATTCCACCACCCTCTGGCATGAGAAGGTAGGAGGATGAACCAGACAAATTACATAAGACACTTTCAGTATCCTAAAAGGGGGGCAGGGAGAGTGGGCTCATTATACAGATGGAAAGTCAAATGATAGTAACTGTCCTCCAAGCCAGCTTTGGGCAATGTTGTGGAAGAGGTAGAATTCTCCTCTAGTATTCATATCCACCTCCTCTGTCCTTCATTTCTCCCTTGGTACCTCCTCCTGATTCCACCCTCCAGGCAACCAGTGCTCTCATTTCACCTACTCTTGTACCCCATCCAAGCCCGCCCTGCCTACTTATTCCCCAATAAAACTATTCTCTCACTCTCCTGACCTCAGCCTCTCAAGGTGGACAGCGACCTCCCATGACTCCCAACACACTCTCCACACCAGGCATGGTATCTCCATATTCATTCTTTGAACCTTTTTGCATGCTGCTCTTTCTGCCTGGATCATCACCTCCCTCATCTCTGCTCATCCAAATAGGTATCTTTTAGTGTCCTAAGTCCTCCACAAAGCCTTTCTTGACAGCTCCAGTCTATCTATCTCTCTCTTCTCTTCTCTTCCCTTTTCTCTCTTTCTCTTTACATCTCTCTCTTTTAAACACCTCTTATGCTATTAGGCAACTATTTCCTTTGGGCAGCTCTACCCTTCCCAGGGAGATTGTAAAGTCCTAAAGATTATAGGTAGCATCTTTATATGATATGTGGTACAACACTTAGCACAACATTATGTGCAGAGTAGCTCTAATTCTACCTTTTGGAGGGGAATAAACCACATCCTTCTGCCATATGGCAATGCTTTAAATATCTGACCTCAAGAAAACAATCATATCCTCCCTAAATATTCTCTTCTCCAGGGTAAACATTCTCACTTTCTTTGACTCAAGGATTCTTAATCTTTTTTTGGATTATGGATCCTTCGGGCAGTCTTTTGAAGCCTATGGACCCAGTCTCAGAATAATGTTTTTGAATGCATAAAATAAAACACACAAGATTACAAAGGAAATTAATTATATTGAAATGTAGTTATCAAAATATTTTAAAAGGAAATAAGTTCACAGACCACAGGTTTGTGGTCCTCTGCTTTGACTATTTCCCAAAGGACATAGTTTCCAGATCCTTCATAATCTTGGTTACCTTGTTTTGAATATATTTTGATTTGTTAAGTTCCTTCTTCAAATAGGGATCTCAGAAGTGGAAAAAGTATTCTATTCAGACAGTCATTCAATTCCTACTAAGTACATGCAAAGTATTATTTAGACCTAGAAAACCAGATTCTATAATTCCCAATCTAAAGTTCAGTCCCCTAGAAAGTGGCAATATGGACCACACCACAGATTGATATCAATAATGACTTTACAACTACCAGTTCATCACCATAACGATCTGAATACCTTTCCTCAAAATTTGCTTCAGTTAAGTCTTCATTCAAAATATGAAGGAGAAAGAAAATGGGAAATAGAAAGAGTAAGTTTTGGGAAAAAAAGTCAATATAGCACAGAATAGGTAGTCCTCAATGTGCAGTTTTAGAATTTTAAGTGCTATATTTCCAGGAAATATGTTTTCCTCTTCTTTTCAGAAATGGAGGGTTATGGGTATGGAACAGCATATATTGTCAGAGTTGTGTGATGTGTTGGCTGGTTTTGCTGACATGTTTTTTCCCCCTCTCTTTTTTTATTCTTTGTTAAAAGGAGTAAATTTTGGGGGAGAGAGAAATATTTGGGAATAAAGGTGACAATGAAAGATATTAATAACATTTTTTTAAGTTAAACAAAGTTTTTCTTCCTGTAATCTAAATAGTATTTTCTCACAGAAGGCTCCCTTTGTCTAGAATATGGCACCAGGTCCTTCAGGATTAACCTACCCTTACACAAAATATAGAAGATGGCTTTGTCTTCGATCTTACTTATCCCAGAAAAATCCTGTTAATTCATTCATCAAATAGTTACTGAGCACCTACTATGTGCAAAGCATTGTCCAAGACACCCTATAGATACAAAGCTATACAAGACCTCTTACAACTATTTTCAGAATGTGTGAGCTGTCAATGTTAAAGTCTGAAAATCTTAAATAAATACTTCTTTTCAGTATGCTTGGGTGAGAAAATAATTCCTGACACTTGGGTTTCTGATGCTGTCATAGGCAGATTCACTGCACACATAACTAAGTAAAGCTAGATAAATAAATACATAAACAAATAAATAATCACAAGCCTTGAAGCCAAAGTTGAAGGTTTCAGAGAAAGTCTACAATGGCACCTTCAGAAATTCTCATCATCACTAAAAGGTACAAATTTGGTCCTGAAGAAATTCAATGAAAGCTAGAAGGTTAAGTGCCCTTGGACCAGAAGCGCCTATTTCCTGGGTGCTGGCTATATAGCTGGGCTCCTTTCTCTCCCCTCACTAAATGATGAGAAGGACTCAAGAAGCCCTCTTTTCAGTAACTTCTGCAAAATCGAAACCAACAGGATCCTTCTTTCAGAGGAGGAGAGGGAAACTGAGGGACTGTCTATTCTGTCAGAGTCTTCAGAAGCTTGGGTTTCTTTTACCTACTTGTGTGCCCCTCCCCCTTGATCCCTAAAAGATGACTTTTCCCTATATCACACACAGGGAAATTGGACTCAGAAGATGGGTCCAGAGCCACCTGTCCTGGTTCTAACTCCTGCCATACTTTTCCTGAAAATGAAACCACCACTGCCACACATGGGACTACCTCCCTCATGCCAGCACTCTAAAGAACAAAAAGAAAGTCAATCAGTGTCATTACCTTAGAGAATCATCAAGGGTCTCCTCATCAGAAGAGAAGGCACCATTGCAGGCATTTGGGAAAGCGTGATTCTGTTTTGCCACAGAAATCTCCCGGGACAAGGGAGCTTCTTTCTTTTTTCTTCTGCCAAACAACTTCTTAAAGGGCTGGAATTTGCCTATTTTCTTCTTGTCTGTGGATTACAAGACAAATACACAATAAAGCTTAACAGTGGGGCACTTCTGGGTCCAACAGCAAATGATAGCAGAGCTCCTGTTGGCCAGGGGAGTCTGAGGGCAAAGGGCAGCCATCAGCCTTGAGGAGCCGGCAGGCAAGGGAGTAAGCTCTGTGCTTGGAATATAAATACCCTGACAGACACCGCCTGAACAGTCATGACAAAGCAAAGTCAAGAACACAAAAAACAGTTGTCCTTCAGGCTACCCAAGCTGGGCCTGGGTTTCAGACTGGCTGAACATCGGAGGGAAAAGAGAAAAGGTTCAATCACTTCATGCTCAGTGGGCACCCCATTCATACATTCCGTGCAAAGGAGTGGCACAGCCTTCATGAATAAAGCAGGTGGCAGAGTGTCCAGTTTGGGTAAAAGAGGCTGGAAAATGATGTGTGAGCCAAACTGGGGTAACAGGGTGGAGGTGGGAGGGGGAAGCAGGAAAGATTATTCTATTCTTAAATCTTCTTGTCTAACCTTTGTCAGAAACAGACATTTTTTCTTAAGCTTGCTGCAAGTCATTTCCTTAACACTCTCTGTCACCAGACTTTGACAGTTCATTTCTCCTGCCCTGAAAAGCCCTTACAGAATTTTTCTTAACTTCTTTCCATATATTCCTGAAATGGCTGAGCTGGAAGCTCTCCTTGCATTTCCTTTAGACTGGGGGTTCTTAACCTGGAATCTGTAAACTTGTTCTTGAAAAATATTTTGGAAACTATCATTTCAGTATAATTGGTTTTCTTTGTAACCCTACATATTTTATTTTATTTATTTAAAATCGTTATTCTGAGAAGTGTCCATAGGCTTCCTCAGATTACCAGGAGTCCATGACACAAAAAAAGGTTAAGGACATCTGCTTTAAACCCTGGGTAATACTTGTCAACAACAAATGTTTGCACACCCTTCATAAAGTTCTCCCCACCCAAGTCACCCGTCTCTTCTGTTGAAAAAATGGTCTCTTTACACAGGCATCGCCATGCCTTCAGGCCTTTCCATTTTCTACAAGAAATGGGTAAAGCCAGGTCCCCGCTTCCCAGGTGGTCACATTTCTGGAACCCTCACAAGTCTGGAACAAACTGGGAAGCCAGAAGTAAGCAAAGAAGAAGCTGGATCATCGAAGTGAATGACTATCGGAAAACCCATGTAATTGACTTTCAAATGAGGCATAGAACCACCCTTAGGCCAGAGCTAGAGGCTCAGAATTGGGTGCAAACTGAAGGTTACTGACTTTACAAGTAGCACACTTATATAGTTTTGCTCTAACGACTTTCAGCTCTGCCCTCAATTACAAACATTAGAAGGCAACAAACATTATTCCAGTGAGAAGTGACAACTAACTTAGCCTTTATAGTGTAGGACAGGATGGAAAGCACATTAGATTTGGAGTCGGTGTACTTGGGTTCAATCTGTGCTATACAGTTCACTATTTATGTGACCTTGAACAAACCAATCAATCAATACACATTTATTAAGCACCTACTATGCCCAGGCACTGTGGAAGTGTTGGGGGGTATAAAAACAAAAACAACAATAATAGTAGTAGCTAGCATTTCTATAGTATGTTAATGTTTGCAAAGCACTTTACACATCTCATTTTATCTTCACAACAACTGTAGGAGAGAGATCATTTCCACTTTACAGTTGAGAAAATTGAGGCAGAGAGAGGTTGACTGACTTGTCCAGGGTCACACAGCTCATAGATGTCTGAGGCTGGGTTTGAACTGAAGTCTTCCTGACTCTAGGTCCAAAACTCTCTACACTGCACTGCTCACTGTCCTCAACGGACTTACATTCTATGAGGTGAAAACACTATGTACAGATATATGTAAATACAAACCATACACAAAATAAACATAAATTAATTTCTTTGGGGGATATTAACAGATGGAATGGGAATGGGGTCAGGAAAGACAATCTTGAAAAGAGCTTGTGCTGAACTCGGAAGGCTGATGGGGATTTTAAGAGATCAAGGTGGGGGCAGCTAGGTAGTGGAGTGGATAGAGCACCAGCCCTGGAGTAAGGAAGACCTGAGTTCAAATCCAGCCTCAGACACTTACTAGCTATGTAACCCTGGACAAGTCACTTAACCCTATTGCCTGAGAGAGAGAGAGATCAAGGTGAAGGGCATTCTAGCCATGGGGGACAGTATATGTAGGCAAAGGCACAAAAGCAAAGGGAATGCTGTACTATATACTCAAGTAAACCAGACTGTCTGGAACACAGATGGGAGTAATGTGTCATCAGCCTAGGAAGGTGGTCTGGAAACAGACTGTGAAGGACTTCAAATGCCAAATGGGAATTTGCATTTCATTCTACAAGCAATAGGGAACCACTAGAACTTTTTGATCAGGGTTGGATTATGGTCAGTTCTGTGCTTTTAGAAATATAATTTTGACAGCTGTGTGTGAGATGGATTGGGAGAGGATAAAAACTTGAGGCAGAGGAGCCTAATTCATAGGCTATTATTACAAAAGATGACGGGGGCTTGAAGTATGATAGTGTCCATGTGAACGGAGAGAAAAGGGAAAAGGAGTGGTGGAGGTAGAATCTAGACTCTCGGTTTGAATAGGTTAGATTCTATCTAACATATTTTTCACTTCTAAATCCTAGGAAGCAGACCTGGGATTCTGAAGGTGCGGCTCTTTTAGGTCAGGCTGTGCTACTGGTGAACAAGCCAATAGGATTACACATTATATAGGTAATAACGTGGAAGAAGGAACGCCTTATTCCTCTTACAGATGTCAAAGTCCAAATGTCAGGTCAAGGAATGCTTGTGAATTTCAAGGAAGCGCTGCCTCAGCAATGCCTCTGTGATGGTCGGAAAGTTTAAAAGAGCAAGAAAACCTGCTTGAATTTCTGTGCATCCATGTTTCAGTTACAAAACATATATTCAGAGACAGCCAATGCTTCCCTCTCCAAAAACTGTGGAATTGTCAGAGCTAACAGTAGGATCACAGATGGGGCAGCCTTATAAAAACTTTCTTCAGGACTTTTGTTCCATGTTCAGTTTTGGTGACATCTCAGTTAAAAAAAAAAAAAACCCATCCCTTCCTAGACAACATTATCTGACTGAAATATCTTCCAAAGCTTCAATTAAAATGAGTTGCTCTCTGTTTTGCTATTATCTGATTATTGATTGCTTGTGATATTGGATAAATTTTACATAATTAACTAGGATTAAACTTTGAAAAATGATCTTATTATTCTATTTCTAGACAAAAGAACCATGAAGTGAAAGAATTTTTTTAAATTACATTGGACTTTTTATCCTGTTTCTTTGATCTCAGAAATCTGTTTTGGGGGAGGGTATAGAAACAAGATCCTGTATCACAAAAAAAGCACAGTACCTAAAATTTTCCCCCATAGTAAAGTATACATTTGAATGGCATCATGAAAAACGTGTAATCTTTCGATGAAAAATCTAAAACTAAGTCTATATGCAATTACTAAATTGATCATTTTGGTGGTTAATGGTGTGTGGTTTTTTTCCTCCTCTGTGTTAATAGCAAGTCTCCACTTAATCAGAGAATCTTAATGTTGGAAGGGACCTCAGAGGGCCACCTAATCTAATTTGTAGCTGAATAAGAATCTCTTCTCTAACATACTTGACAAGGGGCCTTCCAGCCTTTGCTTGGAGAAAGAGTCAGGTAGAAAGAGCCTCTGAAGGCAGCTTTTCTACTTTCGAACAGCTCTAATTTTGTAGATGTTTTTCCTCACAACAAATCTCAATTTGCCCTTCTGCAACTTCTACCCACTGCTCCTGAGGTCCTTCAGTGGATGCTCATGTGGCATGACCTTGAGACCCTCTTATCTATGTCCTTCCTGAAATGTGGTGCACAGAAGCAAACAGAATAATCCAGATGTGGACTTAGCAAGACTTAGGAAAGTGTGACCATCATCTGCCTAAGCCTGAACACCTACCTATGTCACTTTTTGCAGAAGATGAATCTGAAATTTAGAGAGATTAAGAGATTGCCCCATGGTTACCTAGTTGGAGAACACAGTAATATCAGCATTGAGATAGCTGAAATATTAAAAATTATTTCTGTCTGGGTATTTGAGTTATTTGACTTTATTTTGAAAGAACAAGGCAATTCTAACAATGCAATAAAAATGAAAAACTTGGGAAATTCTAACAGAGTCAGAATCTCAGATGCTCAAGGACAAATGGTCATCCCATCAAAGGCATTTGGGGGCATTGCTCTACTTGATCACAATTAAATTCCCCTTTATCCAAACTTTCGCCTGGCAAACTGAGAGGTTGAAAGGAGACATTAAAGAATAGTTTGAGTTGACAAGCTTCTAAACTCCATGAGAGCAGTGTCTTATCTAAACTTTGTATGTAGCCCAGTGCCTAGCAGTGTTCTTCACACAGAATTATAAGAGTTTACTTAAGGTCTCTTGAATTGCATTGGTTCAGCAGGGTTTCTGTTGCCCTCACACAACAGTACCAGATGCTTTGGAACCTCATGCTGATGCACAGGGCTTTTTCCAGGGTTGAAGAATGACCCCTTCCAAAATTCCTTCATTCCCTGTCACTGGCGAGCCAAACTGTCCATCAGCAACAGGCCAGCCAATGAAAGCATATCAACAAATAAAAACCATTGCTTCTGCGTCTGATGATGACTGACAGATAACTTGGCCAGCCAGGGTCATGATGGAAAGAAGGAGAAAAGGACTTCTCTCCTTACATTTTTCATAACTACATCTTGGGTTGCCTTATAATAAAATTCTTATAATACATAAATAATTATAATTATTTACTATATAATATATTATATTACATTATATATATAATATAATAAATAAAAAGTTCTTATAATAAATTAAAAAAAAAACCTCTCCCCACCCCCAAATATTCAAAACTAAATCTTCTAGAAGTCTGAAACATTTAAAGGGTATTGTTTGGGAAAAAAATGTTCCCTAGTACTGTGACATTTTATATCCCCAATTTTACTTCCA